TGTGAAATTATAACTCTAATTTTGTTTAGATATCTAGAATATAAAACCCTTTAAAAGAGTCCCAATAGATGGAAACAATAAAATTTTTAATTTTTTTAAACATAAAAATAGAGCTAATTAAAAAATATATAATTTTATATTTCCCTTAAAATTGGGATTCATTACAGAAAAAAAAAAATCGTGTTACTAACTTATATGTTAGGTAATTAGAAATAAAAGTGTATCCATAAAAATACGTGCTTGAAAAATTATAATTATTAAAAAAATAGTTTTATGTCATGTCAAAAGTATTAATACACGTGTTATAAAAAAAAGTCAAATATCAAATATAATTGTATTCATACATTTTCCGAATAAAATTTTATGCAATATTATGTAAAAAAACAAATTAAGTGAATAGTAATCATTAAAGTGAATAGTATTCATTATAAAAAATTGAGCCGCATTTTTTGGGAATGTTTATACCAAATTAATTTCTGAAAATCTCCCGCATTTTGTGGGCATTTAATAACTGAACGTGAAAAAAAAAATGGAAAAGAAGTTGCCATTAATAGTAAATAATTAATGAAGAAAAAGATTTCACCAAAAATTGAGCTGGCCTATTTTTTAAAAATGATAAATCTTTTTATATAAATATATAAATACCAAAATATCAAAACCCTATAATAGAATTTGGGGGGAGGTGTTGATTTTTACAATTCGGGTCTCTTTGGACCGTACATATATACCCAATGCTTTCTCCTAGGCGCGCCGTGTTAGCGTGCGGGTGTATTAGGAAAAAAGAAGAGTGATTCAAATAAATCCCCTTCCGACTTGTACCGCTCTGACAATTTGTCGTTACAGGACTGCGAAAACGGAGATATCAAAAACTGCGCTGTAATGGAGTTTTCAACTTGCCCTATTTGTAATCTAAGTTTCCCTTCTATGGAACTCCAGAGGTAATTTTTTTTTTTTTTTTTTCTATTTAATCCTATGCCCTCATTTTGTCATTATTTTGTTCATTTTACCAATTTCAATTCCGCAGACATGCGAATGACCATTTCACTGAGGAAGATTCCGCTACGGATTTTGAATTGGCGCAGCAAATTGCGCTTTTCCCGCCATCTCCACCCCGAATTGTATGCATTTGTGTATTGTCCTGCACTTTTGTTTTGTTCTTGCTGCTGTTTTATTTTGTCAATTGTGGCTTGTTTAAGGTATAATCATTTTGAGTTTATAATGTATTAGTGACAAAATTTGAAAAGAATGCCACTTTCTGTCCATGTGTTTCTGTAAAATGGCACCCTTGGTCGAAAACCGGTCTATTTTGGCCGTAATGCGCAAAACTGGTAGTTTTCAAACACAAAGACAAATGGATTAATAGTGAAATCAGGTATCTCTAACCGACATGTGTGATTGTGTAAATTGGGGTGCCTCTGCAAGTATCATATCTTTGAAAGCCATGTTTTGTTCATTTTCAGGAAATTACAAAAACTAGCATTGATCTAGCTACGAAAGGAGTAAGAACCCTCGACATTGTTTACTCCTTCACATGTTGCATACTCTAGAATTGGATGTTTCGTAGGTTATTACAAACCTAAAACGGACGTTTTTAAGACTTCTCTTAGACTTTTGTAAACAATAGTAACCTGACTTTTGACACTTAGGATAAACATCAGAAGTAGTTTTGTAATTATTACTTGTTTACGATATTTGTTCCACAATTTACTCTTCACTTGTTTTGCATGATTCGGCTATTGGTATATTTAGTATTAGTAATACCACAGTTCATTGGGTTCCCAGACAGGAGATTCCTTGAAATGCACACTTAGTTCATTGGATATCCCCCAGCCCAGTTCTTATACATGTGATGCTAAGATAACTGGGTACGAAGTATTCAATCACGACGAAAAACATGCTTCATTAGTCCACCCCAAGAATATGGAGAAATTCTACAAAGTCGAAGGCAAATTGATGACACTGCTGAAAAACTGCCTGGAAACAGAACCTGGAGACACTCTAAGCATACTGTGCAGGCATATTGATCATTTTGAAAGCATTCGGTCTTGGGATGGTGGCTGGGGATGTGGTTGGCGTAATATACAAATGCTTAGCTCTTATTTGCTTGCCCAAAGTGAAGAATCTCGAGGCGTCTTGTATGGTGGTTGCGGGTTTGTGCCTAATATCCGTACAATTCAGTGTTGGCTCGAACTCGCTTGGGGAAAGGGTTTCGATACGCCGGGCTCGGATGACTTTGATCAGAAAATTTATGGCAAGAGAAATTGGATAGGGACCACCGAGTGTGCCGCACTTTTTCGCTCCTTTGGTCTTCGTGCAAGGATAGTTGATTTTTGCAGTAAAAATTTTCAGTTTGGTGGTTTGGGAAGGAAAAATAAGCAGGTTTATGGCCCCATGGACGTGTTCCTGTCCAAAGGGAAAATGCATTTGGATAAAAGTTCTAAGCATCATGATGTTTTATCAGAGAAAGCAAAGTGTCATCAGGTTCTCACTGAGTGGGTGTGGAATTACTTTTCTGGCAGCAGTGCATGCAGAACAGCAAATTGCCGTGTTGTTTTTAGTGAGAAATCGTAAGCAAATTGTAGTTATTTGTTCATATTAGACCTGATTTATTTATTTACATACAAATTTATTAATTTTTTTTACGTCAATTACACTTTTTCTGTATTTTTGACCAGGCCATTGTACTTCCAGCATGATGGCCACTCGAGAACTATCGTAGGAATTCAAGCCAAGCATCTGAAAAATAGGACGAAACAGTACAACTTGTTAATTTTAGAACCTTCTGATGTAAGCATATTCCTTTTCCACCCATGTGGCATGGTTAATGTACAACAACTCCTTAGCTTATAGAATACCAAGTGCCATTAACTTTTAACATATGTTTACATTTAGCTTGAATAATTTTTGCAAGCTATGTAGTTTTGTAATTTTCTGGAAGTAGGTGAGCCAACTAAGCCTCAATGAACTTGTATATTTTCAATCAGATGCTTCATTGGCTCCTTTTCGTATTGAATATTAATAACATTATTCTTACTAATCAATGTTATAATGTCCTCATAAGCTTTATATAACTGTGGCTGATAAACTTGGTGAGGTTAGTCAGTTTCCGGTCTTGATTTAGTGTTGTTAGTTCGATGATTGGTCTCAAGAACAGCAGTGAAGGAAAACATAAATTTCCGCTGCTTTCTTGTGTTTCTGAAGTAATTTTTTTTCTGAAAACATATTTTATTATTAGGAGTTTTTCATCTCATTTTGGTACCTTTTAATGATAAAAAAATTTGAAACTTGGCCTTAGCTTGATATTTTAGCTCAAGTTGCCTAATTTAGCTGTGCAAACTGCGATTGCTGTTTAGTCTAAGCTCTCTAGCAGCCTTGTTCAGCCACAAATTTTTTAATTATTCTCTGCTTTACTTACATTGAGAGATATATAATGATTTTAACTTAATCGGCATGTTCTCATAATGGAGCCCATATACACCGGCGTTTTGACTTCCAAATCATTTGTTTTCAGAAAACCAGAATTCTTGAAAAATCTCTCATCGAGAAGTCTGGATGGCAGAAATTCATAAAGAGAGGTGTCCACACGCTAAAAAAGCCATTGTATCAGGTTGAAATGCATTCTTTTCTTGATGCATTTCTTTTTCATTGTAATTCTTATAAATTGTCGACATGTGTTTTGCCTGTCAGGTGTGTTATGTTGATCCTGGAATTGCTCGTGGGGAAGAGTTGGAGAGGCTGAAGACCATAAACAGCTCCCGGTGCGAATTTTAGACCAACATATTTGTGTAACTCTATCTCATTCGTAAATTGATCTTCATTCAACACAATTTCATTAACAGAACCGTGTTTCCATAAGGATTCAGGGATTTTTGTTAGTATCTTTAGGGTAGTACTTGTGCAGTTTTTTTCTCTCTGTACACCTAAACTAGAAAGATGTGCTGTTACAAGTTTGAAATGGTGGATTAAGTCATTTATTTATTTTGCTTAGTCTTTGGATTCGAAAGTAAAATTTGTCGGTATCACTGGATGTCAGGGTCATTTTGAAACAGTTGTAATCAACCATAGACAAGCTTGAATTGAACGGTGAAATTGGTCCAGAAAACGATTAACTTTTGTAGGTATCCCTGGATGTCAGGGTCATTTTGAAACAATTCCTTCAAAAAATTGTAATCAACCATAGACAAAGCTTGAATTGAACGGTGAAATTGGTCCAGAAAACGATTTGGCTTTGCCTGTCAATCAGTTTACAGTTGGTAAGTGATTCTAGATTAACTTAAAGTATGGGCTATTGATTGTACTTGTTTGACAACCTAATTGATATTTGCATACTTATGTATCAGTTAGTTTCATTAGTTGATTGAATATGACAATAGGGATTTGTTACATTGTTGTGTTACATAACTTTAATTCGCTCTGTGAAAGTGTCAACTTTTTCCAGTCTTTTGACAACCAAATTTATAAACTCTTTCAATTTTTCTGAGTCTTCAGCACAACCACCTATTTTATCAAACAATCAATGAAGCAAATTAGAAGATTTGATCTGATTCGTACCACTTTCAAACCTCTAATACAATCCCAGACCTCTAACGTTGAAACACTCGATATCTACCAATCAGTAAAAGTTCGGCCATTACAAATGGGTAAAATAAGACAAACAATCTAAACTCTCATTTAAACGACATGATAAATGCAAAAAACATACATTCAAAGTTGTGCAAAAAAGGTAAACAACTAAACTTAACACACTAAAGAACTCCTAATAACCGAGATTAGGGAGAGAATAGAGGTCAAAACGCAGTAAGCAAAAGAGGTATAATAATAGCCTGTCCCATTATTACAGCCGCAAATAAACTAAGCAAATGTTTTCTTAATCAGGCAGTCCTATCACTGGAACCATGATTCAACAACTCTTGCCTGCTTTTATCTCTCTTTATTTTCGCCTTAACCCTCGACTTTGTGACAAGAGTTTGCACAGTATTAGCAAAGTTCCCAGCGGCCATAATTATAAGGAGAATCCCACAGGTGATTACCTGAAATAGGTACACATCTGAGCATCGATAATTGAAAACTTGCTTTGTTGCAGAAAACAACCGCATTCAGTGTTTTACATAAAACCTAACCAAGGAGGCAAGAAGGATTTGCTTCAGATGATTACTATACCTGCCAGTCTAAACTGAATCCTGCAAGTGCAGTTTTAAGCAGCAAGACCCCAACATATGCCTCAAAACCCTGAAAATTGGGGATCAGTACTTGCCAAATTTACAACACTTTTACCACAAAGCATAGAGCTAAAATATGATTCACATATTTAAAAATTGCATCAATTCACATGAATGAACAAGAATGTGGCTACGCGAGATTATAGGAGGTGGTCTGTAAAATACCTGCAAAATGAAAAGTATAGGGCACAACAGAAGTAATTGCCCCTCGACTCCAGCAGTTTCTCCCCAAACAACATCCATTCTCCTTGCCTACAAATTGACATAAAAAAATTTGTTTACTGAATATTGGTCAAGTTTGTGACCCCACAAGAGAAAACTTCTTTTCTACGACAGGAATTTTCAACTATTAATAGAGCCCAGAACAGCTCCAAGTATAATCAGACGATGGAAAGATTTTCTGGAGCCTTAGGGCAATGCATAAAGAAACTGAAACCAATTTAGGCAAAAATTAGTGAAGTAAACAAGGAAATGCTTATATTTATTCTCATACATCACATGCAGAAAATACACAACATTAATTGATCAAATAATATAATAATAATACTAACAACTTACCGTTATGTTAGCTATGTAACAAGTTATACAAGAAATGATTATGTAATATGGCATGGACTGTGGTTGAAACAATTCCGAATGAAGGGAATATATATAATCGGAATATATATAATCGAATGATACAGAAGCCTACTAACCTTGCCAAGAGCAATACGTGTGTAAAGTCTTTGCCGCTGATATCTGTTCTGAAGAATCATTGCAACTCCTTGCATGATCGCCCATTTCAGAAACAGCTCCACACCTCTCTGCAATATATTCAATCAAATGACTAAAAAAAAAATAAAAAAAAAAAAAGTAAAAAGATTAATGGGAAACCAAGCCGTGCATTTATGAGATTTTTTATTTTTTTTCTATGTTGATGATCAATCCACATTTTTCCTTGTGTGTGTATTTTTTCGGGGGAGGGTTAAGGTTGATGCTGAACATTACCTGTTTCTGAGCACAATCAGGTCCTCTCTCTATCTCCCAAGTAAGACTAATTACAGCCATACCCATTGCACAATAGTGATGCTTAATCCACCTGGAGAAGTAAAATCACGAATTAATTACACTTATCTGCAAGGATTCACTACATCATAATCCTAAGAATAATAAGATTCAGAAATCATGCCCACAGAAAAAAAAAAAATAAATAAATAAAAAATATCTGGAAGCTGAGACAACTGTTGAGGCAGCAAATTCTTTGATTTAGAATACATCTAATGCAAGCAATGGGCCTTTTCAGAAATGAAAACATATAATTAGTAGCATATTCTGTGACTGACCACAGCAATATATTCCTCCAAACCCACATACTTCGTGTTTCCTCATCATTCTCCGTGTACGAGTACAATTGTGCATATTTTAGATTTTCAATAATATCCACATCGCTATCACCATATCATATAATCTGCATAGCTTTAAAGATTCGAAGTACAATCATATCACACCGATTGTATAGTCTTATTACCTGAGATATATGCTACATTAGAAAACACATCTCCCAGAAGTTATTTTATTTTATTGTATGCTAATCACTTAACACTTCTAGAGCTCACTTGCAAGCAACCACTTCTAAAATAAAATTTAACATATTACACATTTGCCAAAACTGCATGTCTAGTGATATGTGATAAGCATGATCGTTCAATCTTTACTTTGTCATTTTCTAAATATCAGAATCCTTGTGATATGGGCAAGTTTTCCAGTAGAAAAGCAATAAATCAAAAGATCCCACATGTAGGCCGACAAAATTTCATCAAAAACAAAGCTGGTAATTTCACCTATACTACAAGAAGAGGACCAAAATTTATTCGTCATTGGAAATCTTGAAATTTCAATTTACAAATTCTTATAGATACCAAAACAGGGAAAGACATGAATCTAAATAGGTGGTGCAGCTTAAACCATTAAACCCCCCCAAAAATGAATAAAATAAGAATGGGTTGAGACATATTCAATTACCATGGTCGGATATCACTTCCATTTACTCGCAAGATATTTTCTCTCAAAGCTAGACCAGTGTAGAGATACAGTAACCATGCCTGGATGAAGATACTGGCTTCAGTAATATAAAATAGAACAAAAATAGCATAAAGTCCAGGAAGAAAGTTTATAAAACCTGGTAGAGTTGAACTGGTAATGCCGGTAGACATCCATCCCATATAGTTGACCGTAGCATAAGCAGCAATGAAGGCAGAAAAAGGAACAAATATGCTGTTCTATCCTGCCATGGGACACAATTATTTGTTCAAGAACAGCAAAGCAAAATTTTCCCATCAACTCATCATAAAATAAAATCATTTACTATTAACAATAACATCAAATAATAATCCGCAAAAAATTGATGCATTGCAGTATTAGAACCAAATTTTAAAACTAAAAGTACAGGGAGTATAATCTATAACAAATTAAAATCAATAAAAGATAAAGAAACTTCAGAAATTGGTTTACTCTGAAATTATTGTATTCTTCTTTCACTTTCAATTGCACATCCTTCCTATTTGCCCGCACATTAATGGGACCTAAAAACATCCTCAGAAATCTCCCTACATTAACAAAAAAAAAAAAA